AAGATGGGATCACTGGAACAAGGGTTTTATTTTCCTGACGTTTCGGATTCCCGAGGGATCAGATCTTCTTCTGATAATTGTCCTCTGAACTGCGAAGATCCTTTGATAAATTTAATGATTGACAACAATGCGAAGTAATGCAAACTCATAGTTTTTTATGTAAACTTGTCATCGGCCGCTTTCTGTGACTCGTAAATCGACGTGAAATGCGGTTCCTACCGAATCTCACTGTTCGAAAAATGCCGTCATCTGTGATACAACTGCTGACGTGCGAGACAAACAGAGCACGGACGAATGCATGCCGCTTAGTGACTGTGGATCGCGCTAGACGCGGAGGTTGTAGGAGGTTCTTTTGTGCACACAACGTCAGGTTCATCAGCCTGATATCGGTCGCTTCTGCTGTCGCTAGCAGGCGCTGACCTAAGGAATTTGAATAGTTTTTTGGGACCGTACAGCTCACCCGGACAGCTTCGTTGGGATTCAACCATGTTCGCCAGAATATGGTTGTTTATGCTCCAACTACTTGCCAACTACTGATCTTAATACTGTTGAATATCTAGCCTTTCTAGCTATCCAAAACCGGTAGACGATGTCTTTGAGCACTGAAGATAATAGTCAGTTGGTGTTTAGTGTGTCAGCGGCTGACGACAGCTCAGCTACCATTTCCGATGGTGTTCACCGTTTGCCTCAGAGTAGGATGGATGCAGGGACGGGAAACTGCGTACGAATGGATTTATAGTGAAAGTAGACTTGCGTTGTACCTACTGCACTCCCTTCCGCTTCACCCACTTGAACCCAAAGGCAGGACAGTGTCCACAAGTCCAAAGGCGCGATGGCGAACAAATGGATGGCGCGAGGTGAGACTGCGCCTAGACGTGCTACCACGCGTCCCGTATAAGGGGCATCTGTCATAGATGGTAAGCCCTAATATGGTGCCATTTAAGCCGAACACAGGTGCCACGTTAAGGGACATTAAATACTGCACTGTAAGTGTCTGTTTGAAAATTTGCCTTTGTGGATCGTTGAACCTATGCCAGAACTGATAAGGTGTGTCACGTAAAATGAATTTAAAATAATAACTATGAAAACTATGGATCCAATCTCTTTGTAGGAAAACCAAAACGACGCTCGCATTCATCTTCTTCGTCTTCATCATCGTCCTCCAGCAGTTCCTCTTCCTCCTCCTCATCTAGCAGCTCATCTTCATCGTCATCCTCAAGATCTCGTTCAAGTTAGTGCAATGATCCTAAACGTGCTTCAGTCATCGGAGTCCATTTTAAACTTCCAAAAATAAGTGCCAGGAGGCAGTTGAGTCGTGGGCGACTCGATTTTGATTGGTCTCTGTATCAGATTCATTTCCGAGTCAGCGATAGACAGAGATAGGGGGACGCCAGTACTGGTTAGCTGCCTCTTATGCAGTAACCTCCCCCCCTCCACGCCCGCATCCAGCAGATTAAGTAATTGCATATTAACGACACGGTTCCTGGGCAAACACTATCTCAACTGTTAATAGCCGCAGTTTCGTCACCAATTTGAATGCTTGCCAGGATCACCAAAAGGGTCGGTTTTACTTAACTTGCTCCGGGTGCGAACTGTAACACTGCGCCTCATGCGCGTACTTTCACGTGTGAAAGAATGTCAGCAGGATGCTCGGCCAATCATAGCTATTGAAGTCGGCCAATCATAGCTATGAAAGTCGGCCAATCAACGCCAACACAGACGCCCCAATGTGTGCGTGGCCTCCAACAGCTACCTTTTCCTACACTTCTCTTCCTTCATTCTGTAGAGAAAGTAATTTCGTAGCGAACGCAAATGGGAACCCCTGTAGTATATGTGGAC